CAATTACTTAAAGTGACTATCAAACTTCAAAAAATTCGAAACTCTCTAACCACTTATCCAAAAACAATAAAAATACATCCATTGTTTTTCTAACATCATAAACCTTTGATTTGAAGTTCTTTACCTTTCCTCTCCAAAGAAAATCTACCCTTCCAAAGCAAAGAAGCTCTAACTCTAAGGATTCATTAGGGACGGCTGAACCTGTCGATAAAGGAGATTATGAAGTTGTAGTGCAGAAAGCTGCATTCTGAAGTTATTGTACATAAATCAATATATTTTATTTGGGAGGTATAACTATCAAGCTGCTGTGTTGGAGTTGTATGAGAACAATTTACTTTAATACCTTTATATATATTGACATGAAAGATAATTATTTATATTACTTTTTTTTAATGAGAATACAAAAAAAAATTAAATAAAAATTGTATCTAATTTTAGCAAATATTTTATAAGTTTTAAATATGAAAGTACTATATATATATATATATATATATATATGCAGCCATGGGAAAAGGGTAAAGGTGGAGTCTTTCATATTGGGATCATTAGTGCCGAGGATGGAGACGACAAAGTATATGGCGCTAACTGTAACTGAGGGCATTCACATATTTATGGTAGATTCGAATAGCGGGAAGTAGCACAAGGCGGTAGCCTTTTTTAGGACATCAATAGTACCAGTGGGACGCAAGACGTTTCAGAACGGAGCATGAACGCAAAACCCCAAACAACAATTCAGTTATGTTTAATGGCATAAATCAAAGAAAAAGTCGCCCCAAATGCACCCAATCTATCCAAAAAACCTAGTCATCATTTACCCTCTTATAGGCAATCCCTTTACCATCATCTAAAGAGGTCATCATGTGTCCATCATTAAGATCTTCTTCATCCTACATCACAATGTAATAAGAGTCCATTGGCCACTCAAAGAAGCCATAGGTTGTTAATGTGGTCAAAAGCCTTGAATGCATGGGCTAATATTTTAGAGTTAACAAGGACCTTAAACATGGAAGGGTGGCCTCTAGCATTCTCAAAATGAGTAAGCATCATAAGGCATTGTGGGTTGCTAAAGAAGCGAAGAAATATCTTAAGTATCACAGATGAGGACAATTGTTTCCATCTTTTTTTATTTCTTTTGAGGAAAATGAATAGTAGGTCTAGGTCAGCCCATGTGATCATGCTCAGATCTAGGTTAGACAAGTCAAACCAATCATTTTCTCTTTTTTTTTAGCAATGGCATTTTATGTGTTTCAATGACTAATAAATTACAACGAAATTATACAAATTAAGACTATGTTTATTTTGAGGAAATTAAAATATATGACGTGAAAAAAACTAAATATGTAAATAGTAAAGAAATTAGGTTGAAAGCAGTTTTTTACTTATTAGTTTGCGTGAGCAGAAATTGATTAATTTTTTTAATATATATTTTTTAACTTTCTTACTTGGTTAATGAGAATTTGAGTTTTTATTTTTGTGAGAAGATATGTGAGTCACAAAAATGTCCCAACTTTATTTTGGTTTTTCAATAAGATTGGGTAGGGAATTATCAATAGAAAAATTTATTGTTTACAATTCCTAGGCAAATCCAATTACCTATTAATTACATTAAAATCAAAAACCAAATATGAAATTTAGAGATAAAATGCATTTGTATTCTCTCAAATTGCTTCAAACCAAACATGTAATGCATCTTGGAAGTAAAAACAAGTAGATGAGAAGAAAAACACAGGAACATAAAGATAGGGACTGATTTTTTATTTCTCCTTCAATAATAATGCAAGATACAATTGATCTAATACTCGTATTGTGGGGTTTAAATCAGTGAAAGAATTTCACTACCTAGGTGTCAAGATAGCTTTGAGGAGAGAGATTAGTGGCCGCTAATTTTCAATTCATCATTGACAAAGCATTAAGGATGCTTAACATTTGGGGCAGCAAATTAATTTCTTTGGCGGGTAAGCTAACTTTGGCTAAGTCGGTATTGCTTTCTTATCCCACTTTTCATAGCACTCACTCTCTTGTTCCAAAAAGAGTGCTGGAGGAGATTGATAAATTGTGTAGGAGCTTCATATGGAATAAGTCGAATGGAAGATTGGGTATACATTGTCAACCGGAAGGAATTGCGCAAGCCATTGAATTAGGGGGGAGGGGGGGATGCATTCCAGTGCATCTAAGGTGGCTGCATTAAGAGAAAGATTGGCTTGGTGTTTTTTACAAAACAAAGATTCCCTGCTACACAGGACTCTTGCTCCAAAATATGGTATTCGGTATGATATTGGAACTTCAAAGAAATGGGGCTCTTCTTCTTGGAAAATCATTTCAGATGATGGTAGAAAGCTTAAGCCTATTGTTAGGTGGACCATTGCAAATGGCAATGCTATTGATGTCTATAATGATAATTGGATTATGGATAAATGTATCAACAAATGGCCTACGTTTGCGGTGATTCCTAGAGACAATGCAATTTCGGTAGATATATTTATTACAGATGAAAGATGGAATGAAGATGAATTACTTAAATTCTTTGGTAAAGAATTAGTAAACCTGATTATTCATGTTAATATCCAAACAGAACTAGGAGAAGGCAAGATGGAGCTTATCTATCAAAAATCAGGGAAAACCATTTCAGGATTGGCATTTGAAGCTTCGCTGCAAGATGTTCAGGAATCATGGTTTTGGAAATGGATCAAAAAAGCAAAATTGATCTCTCGTGTGGAGGCCTTCTGGTGGAGACTATTTAAAAATGCTATTCCAACTAATCAGTTTTTATCATACAGGAATTTGCAAAATAATAGTGATTGTCCTAGATGCTCTGAGGAGACGGAAGATGTAGAACATGAAGCAATCAATTGTACCAAGTTGAAAGAAGTATTTCAACACTTAAACAAATGGGGATTCGGAATCCCATAGTTTGATAAACTGGAAGAATGTTGTAAGTGGTTGGAGTTTTCTGCCTTGAGGAATAGTTTGCTTGTTAATCTTTATTGCAATGTTGTATTTCTCTCATGGAAAGCTAGAAATAAGTTCATTCATGAAGGAGTTGAAGATAGCTTGGTTGTGATTGCTGCCAACGCTGTTATTCTCTTCGGTTTCAAGATTTTCTGGGAACTTCTCCTCGGGCAACTGGGATGCTAACCAGTCATTTAGACTGTCTAATTTTTGGCATCCTCCACCCGATTGGCTAAAGGTTAATGTTGATGCATCGTTACGTTATTCATATAAAGCTGGAATTGGAGGAGTATTCCGTGACTGCAAAAGCAGATTTTATTGGCTTTTGGTAAGTCATGCATTCATTGAGATATTTCACAATTGGAACTCTTAGCTATTCAACATTTGAAGGATGTTATAAAGGATTGGATGTTTAAATATAAAGGGATTATCATTGAAGGCGATAATCACAATATTATGAAATTTCTCCAAGAAGCTTTCAATAATGGTGTCCAAGTGATGGAAGAACAAGTTTTTATCAAAGATTTTAATCATGTCATTTTCAATTGTATAGGTAGGGATAGTAATAAGTTAGCAGATTTGTGTGCTAACTTTACTCTTTTTAATTCTTTTATTTGGGAAGACATTAGTTTGAATAAGGTTCATTCTTCCTTTTTTAAGTTGTTAAAGGAGGAATCTACTTTGTAGTTTGCTTGTTTTTTTTTCTTTAGCTATTAATGCAATGTTTGCTTTTTCAGGAAAAAAAAAAAGAGGTAGATCAGCTCTCCCATAAACTCTAGCCGCCACTAGGAACCTTGGACAAACCTTAGAAAAAAAATTCAGCAAACAAAATATACTAATCCTAGCCCACACTTCCTCTTAAACAGCCCTAATACATAATAAACACAATTAAACATTTACCAAACAATTCAAAACCTTCCTAAACATCTCCCCGTTGATTTCTCCTCCTTACATAAGGGGCCAAAATCCCCCTTGGTTCTGCCCGGCCCCTAGGATGGTTCGGCTCCTATTAGACCGGTCGGCTGGGTTGGTTCGGGCCGCCCCCCTCTCCTGCTGCTCATGCCGTATTAGTTGATCAATGAGAGCTCTACACCTATTGTTAGCCCACTAATCAAATGATTTTGGTGAAGGAAACAGCATAATAAATTGACCAATGAGTCAGTTAAACAAATAACCCCATTTTATTTTGAATTTTAAGGGGTTAACACACTTGAAGGCACATAAGAATTGTTAACCAACACAATACTTGAATCAGATATAAAACATCCAGGAGACTTCTTTCAAAACTTGTGTCTTTCTTATTTCCTGCAATTAAAGCTATCAACATCCAGTGGCACCACAATAAATGTCATAGAAATTCAACCATTTCACTCTTTCATGCCAAATGACAAGATCAAGCAGTTAATTCAACACCTTATTCTACAAAATTCTGAGGATTGAACTTGAAAGTAATAATTTCATAGTATCAACAATTTCAATAAAAACAAAATGATGATAATGAACATACCATGATGATGAGTACAATAAAAAAAACTGCTATTATATATATAATGAAAAGATTATTTAGTAAATTAACAAACATTGTATAATGCAGAAAAATGCATTTACACAATCAATCATTCAGCTTAATGTATCACAGGAATGGTCCAAGAAAGCATCCTATCTTCATCAACAAAAACCTTATCCTAACTATTGCGATTCTCCTCATAAATCATCACTCTTTGTAAAATTCTACTATGTGAATTTGGAAGTATAAAATAGACATTGAGCAAATATTTTCAAACAAAATAAATCCATGCTACCTCTAGTCCACCCCTCTTCCTTTTGAATCCTGCCAAATTAGTTTTATCAGCTAACGCATGCCCATATAATGTTCTATTAGTGGACTAAACATTGCAATCAATGAAGTTTACTAGAGATGCACCAGCAACAAGAAAAGACAGTTGCATCAATGATTGCATTCAAGAGATGAACTCGGAATATTAAACGAAAAAAAGGATATTTGGTCATGAAAACTTATTGGTAAGATTGCTGAAGTCCAGAATATTTACTTGAAACCAAGGAGCCACTATCCTCATTGTCATGCACAATAGCAGCCTTATATCCAGCACTCTGTGCATTTCTAACTTTATCATCAAATTCGCATCCTCCTCTTATGATTAGCACAAACGGAGAAAGTGGACCTTCAACAGCCTTATTTTTCAACTGACTGCAGGCATTAAGAGGCTCGGCCAAATATAAGGTCCCACATTCACCAGAACCTTTAACCGATGGAGCTGCAAAATATACAAAGAAACCCTAATTAGAAAATCTAGCATTTCTTAATTATGCATACTATAGCAAATAAATAAATACCATAATGAAAATTTGATGGAATCAATCAAGCAAAACTTGAAAAGCATCTTCAGGTTGAATTTAGTAACAGAGAAATTCTCCTGTCCACCACATACGTAAGAAATAAGAATTGAATTGCTCTGTAATGTTTATTAATCGTTTCATGGGGCTTTCTCTTAACAGATTTTGAAAATTCAAAAAGATCATTGTTTTTTTCTCAGCTATCCAATCATGTCACTTTCCCGAAAGGTCCTAGCCCACATAAGCAACAAAAATGCCAGTTATTTAGAATAAGAAAACAAAATCTTCAAAATCTGAGATTATTGAATGAAATCAAAGAAACAGCATCTAGCTTATTTTTGGGTGTGCAAGCGTTTTCTCACACTTCTGTCATGCATAACATGCAATTTATTCTTATAAAAATAACTGAAACTCAAATTACTCATTTCTATGTATTAATCCCCGTACGAATTCAAGCAGTGTCCTATTCACAGTGATTAAAGATGGCTTAAAAATGGATGGCATTGAAATTCAACAAATTACTTAGGATATGTGCACGCTAATTCACCTTTACTATCATAAAATAATGAGAAAAATAGGGATTAATTTATTCCACAATGCTAACCTGCATGCTACAAAAAGAAGGATTAATTTAATAGCAAGATTCCTCGTAATCCAGAAAAAAATTAGCCAACAATGAGCATATATATATATATATAGTTGAGAAAATATGACCAAACATAAAACCAAAAAACTGGGAAGTTCAAAATTCAAAGTTCGATGGTTTGATGGTGGAACCAAGGGTTGAACAAATGATGTAATAAATATTAAAATTATTTAAATAAAATCTAATGACATAATAATATGTAATAATTATAAAATAATATAAATTTGTGAATTAAAAATAAAAAGATTTCATACATAAAAAATATATTTTATAATTTTTAAATTAAATACAACAAATTTTTAAATTTGATTCACATTTAATATAACTTGAGTGCACATATAAAGTCATAAGTTTAAATTAAATTATTATTAACATGTGTTATATATTTAGATATAACTTATATCTATAGATTATATACTAAATTCATATTATAAATTTGAATATATAAATCATTCATATTAGATTACTTATCATTAATAAATACATAAAACTTATTTTGTATAACATGTAATTATATAAAAAAAAATTAATTAATTATTATTAAACAAAAAAATATTACTCATATTACAAAATATTAATTAAAAATCTGTTTAAAAATATGTAGTATATATATTGTGAACTTGTGAACTTAAACTTATTTATTTAGTCTCATATCACTTGAAAACTTTTTCTTAATGATGCAGCCAAGATAGGGGATGACTTGGAGGGGTTTTTAGTAGTGGTTGTGTCTTCCCATGTGGCTGAAGTATGAATATTTTCTCATTTTTTGTAGGTTGTAAAAGATGTGAATCCGCTTGTCCAACGGATTTTTTGAGTGTCCCCTTTTCTTTACGTGTTATTATGCTTATTATACCAGCAGATATAGCATTATAAACTGTATTATTACTCTTGCTACCATCAGGATAAATCTGACCCCTTCCTCTGTTCCCACATACATATATGGGATATTTAAGAAGTGAACGTCTTTTTCGTCGTAGGGTCGGGGGAAAGAATAGGAAATGAAGAAAAAATCATTTTCCTATGTCATTTCTGTGGTTAATTGGTTTCCATGTTGTCCCTTATTTTCCTTTCTACTCATTGCCTTTTTGGGTCGGTTCTCCCTGCTGCTAGCTATTCAGATTTCTCTTGTTGTTTCTTATGTTGTGTGCTTTAACTTTATATTAAATGGGTTGTCTTGATAGGCTACTATTGGCTGTTTTTAGTAGCACAACTATATGAACTATTGAATGTTATTCCCCGGCCCATTCTTTCTCCTATAAACTAGGGTTGAATTCCTTTATGAAAGAGAGTTTCGGAGAGTGATATGCTATGTTGCACCGATACGGATACGGCAACACGGATACGACACGATACGGATACGGGACACATCAATTCTTAAAAGTACAGTATATGGGTACGGCGCGGACATGACATTATAATTTATAAATCATACATAAAATTTAAGAAATCATTCAAAGTAGAATATTTGAAATTACAAAAAAAAAATGGAAGCAACATTATTTGTAGTCTTGTAGCTTATAATATCAAAATAAAAGTAAGCATTAAATGTTTAGTACAACAACAAAAGCATAAACATAAATTGTCTAGCACATGAAGTTTCAAGTATTCAATAGAAGGAATGATATGATTAACTTCTTCAGTGGTTTGTCTTTGAACTTCTATATCATCTTCAATAAATATCATAGCTTCTAATTCAGGCTCATCAAGTCAAAATATTAGCAATTTCTAATATTCTCATACCATCAAGAGACTCAAATCCATCTCCAAAATGAAAGAACCTCGCTCCCAACCTTGGAAGTAAATATGATGCGTCTTTTTTTTTTTTTCACGGACACGCGTATCAGATATGCGTGTCCTTTAGAAATTAAATAGTACTTTAATTGGATACGGCTTTGGCGTATCTGACACGTATCGGTGCCGTATCGGAGGCGTATCCATGTATCGGTGTATCGGATACAACACGCCTTCATAAATCGAAGTATCGGTGCAACATAGGTGATATGTGATGAATATTTGAAATGTTAAACCTGTGGGTTTTCCATAGCTTGCAAGCTATCCTCTTTTACCTTCCTTCTTATATTTCGTCTTAGACTTCTATCTATTATTCTCTCCACGATTCTCATTCCACATGTATCTTTATTCTCGAAATTTTGATTAGTCACCTTATGTATGTGGATGACATTGTGATCTTCACCAAAGCTAACAAAAAGTGCTTGAAGAAAGTTGACAAAATTGTGAAGAATTATTGTAACTGGACCGGTTAGAAAATAAACATGCTCAAGTCGGCTATGCTTTTTGGCAAATCGGTCAAAAAGAGGAAAGGTAAATCTCTAGCTAAGATTCTCAAGGTGAAAGTGGTAAATGAGATGGATTATTTGGGCGTTAAGATTGCTCTTAAAAGATTGGTCAAAGCTGATTTCAACAATCTCATGGTGAAAACTGCGTGTAGAATGAATCTTTGGGGTTCCAAATTTATTTCTCTTGCAGGAAAAATTACCTTAGTAAATACTTCAGTTCTTTCACTTCCTATATACCTTTCTAAACATTCACTGATTCCGTTGGGGGTTTTGAATGAAGTGGAGAAAATGTGTAGAGATTTTCTTTGGAATAAAAGGGATAGAAGCTATGGGATGCACTATGTTACATGGGACACCATGTGAAAACCGAAGAACAAAGGAAACTGTGGTTTACAATCGCAGGTGGAGAAATTAGGACCTTTGAGGTCTAAGTTTGCTCTTAATTTTATCAAAAACTCAAACTCTCTTCTTAATAGAGTTTTAAGATCCAAGTATGGGAATGATTTATGGAATGTAGCTTCCAAGAGCTGTTATTCTGCAACCTGGAAAATTATTATGAATGGAGCATATTTTTTGCATCTAATTATGAGGTGGAGAATTTTTAATGGTAAGAATGTGGATACTTTCAAAGACATTTGGATCCTGGATAAGACCATTGATAAGTGGCCAACTTTTGTAGCAGTTTTAACTCCTGAATTCAGTAATACATCAGCTTTTATTTCTGATGAATGTGGGATATGAACAAGTTAAAACTCTGTTTTGGACAACAACTGATTGAGGTGATAATTTCGATTCCAATTTATAATGAAGCAGGTGAAGACAAGTTGGAATGTATTAGTAGATTTTCTGGTAAATCTATAGTAGCTATTGCATATGAGAAAAAATTTAAATATGACAAGGATGATTAGACGGGGATCTGGAGAAAGAAATTGAAGCTAAGGCCAAAGATTGAAATTTTTTGGTGGAGGTTATGCATAAATGTAATTCCAACTTTTGGTTTTCTGTTGCATAGGAGGCTGGCTGAGTTCGAAGGATGTCCGAGAGGATGTATGGGATTGATAGATGTAGAACATGTGGTTGTATAATGTTATAAGGTCAGAAGAATATTGGAACTGCTTGTTGTTTGGAATTTTATCATTCAAGTATTTGATTCTATGAATGAATGCTATTGGTTATTGAATAACCTTGCTGAATCAAATTCGTTCCTTGGAAATTTACTCTGTTCAGTGGTATACTTTTGCTGGAAAAGAAGAAATAAAATTGTTCATGGAGGGTCGGAAGACAGCTCTTCTACTATTGCTTCAAACTCTATTATTCAGACAGTAATGTCTTTTGATACTTGTCTATTCCGGGAAAATTGGGATGCTAATCAGCTGTATAAGCTGTCTCAATCTTCTTGGCATCCTCCTCGTCCTGGTTGGATCAAGGTGAATGTAGATACTTCAGTGCTCTCTAATAAGAAAGCTGGCATAGGAGAAGTATTCAGGGATTGTAAAGGTCGTGTATTAGCTGCTTTTGGCTTTGGTTGTCTACATTGGGACTGCTCTCAAATGGAGTCTTTAGCCATTCTGGCATTAAGAGAGTACATCCAAGAATGGATGCTAGATGTAAAAGGCATTGTGATTGAGGGTGACAACTATAATGTCATCAAAATCTTTCAAAATTCATTGAAAAAGACAGCGATTGATGAAGAATTTATAAATCCTAAGGATTTAGATTTTCTTTCTAATTTTAAGCAATTTATTTTTTCTTTCTCTAAGAGAGATTGTAATAAGTTAGCTGATTTATGTGCTAACTATGCTCTTTTTTCTTCCTTTTATTGGGATTCTAAATTTGTTAAAGGAGGAATCTTCTTGTTAGTGGTAAAGTGAATAAAATTGCTTATTGTATTTTAAAAAAAAAAAAGAAGTGTTGTTGTGTCCTGTTTTATTGTAAGTTGTAAAGTATTGTTATGTCCTGTTTAATGTGAGTTTGAAGTGATGTGTTGTTATATTCTATCGGTGTTTGTTTAAGTTGTTTTGAAAGGAGGTTTGTAATTCGCATTCTTAGAACCAAGGTTGTTTTTAGGTTGCATCATTTAATATTATTTATAGCTTTTTGGGTTACATGTGTAGGAAACTTGCATGGAGTTGAAAGGCCATGTGAAGATACTTGATTGGTGTTCTTTGGCAAATATTTTTATAGGATTTACATGCTTATTAAGGAATTAAAATATCTTAAATTAATTAAATTTAATATTTTATTCTAAATATATTAAATTACTATATTTAATTTTTTAAATAATTCAACAATTGAATTGGCCGGTTCAAAGGAATTGCGACTGGTTCATCGATTTGTCAGCTGAACCAGTCGAGCTAAACCGACGGTTCTGACTAGTTCAGTCCGATTTGATGCAAAAGCATTTTTTTGAGATGAACTGGACTGGCCTTTTGACTAGTTCACAATTGAATCGGTCGATCAAGCGTGTGTGTGTGTGTGTGTGTATGTGTGTGTCTGTGTGTGTGTGTGTGTTTATACATATCAAATATAACTTCATTTTTCATAAAGGTAAATTCATTAACAATGGATGGCTATAAAGAACAACAAAATGACAAATGACACAGTATTATTTGAAGAGAAAATAAGAAACAATAATTGAAAAGCTATTTGACTTTAATCTGCACTCTTGAAATCCTATGCCAGAAACTTTAAAACCTTTTTAAAGACAATGTCATAGAAAGAAGAGAGAAGGAAGGTTGAGGATGCAATTAGGTGAAGGGGCTCCTAGGTGGGTGTAGTTTAGTTTAGTTTAGTGCTGCACGGAGCCAACCAATGGAAGGAAGAAAAAAAATAAAAGTACAAAACACCATAACTGAAGCAATACAAAATAATGCAGCATTTGAAGCATCATTTCATTGCTTAAAACCAATAAAATATGCTTCCCAAAATGATATTGAAGCAGCATTATAGTTGTTTATCATTGCAGTCCTATGAACTGAATTTTTAAGAATGTAACTGCGGGTGACATATGACTGATTTCTTTAAAGATTATTCTAAAGGTAGTGGCGTTTGTGAACTTTTTAACGGGCATGTCCAATAATTATAAGGTGTTAGGTAATTTGATGAGCTTCTGGACCAACCTTTAAACCTGATGGTGCTAAATAGTTCTTTTTGCTTCAACATGCGTTGAATTATTAAAACCAATGATTAGAGAATAATAAGCATGAATGTATTGTTCTATCGAAATGAAGACTACTGCAATTGAATGAAAGTAAAAGTTCATACGCTCAGCTCCACTTTATTTCCTTAGCTCAACCTGCAAGAACACTATCATTAGACCGTATCAGGTTTTTCCACTAGCAACTGCTTCAATTTCCTCATGCAATTCACCAATATATCTGAAAATCGATAAAGAAAAGAAAGGCATATTGCAAGAATTTCAACTAACTTCCATATAAGCAAAGAAAAAATATTCACATAAGAAACTAGATTACATGTCAAGTCTTAGGATTGCAGAACTATTTCAACAAGAAAAGGATGGAACAATAAATGAATTGAGAATAAAACCTAAAAAACAATCAAAACAACAGTAAAACTTACCAAAATTGGCCTCGAGGTCATTAAATGACAAAGATACGTTCTTCCCAATCACTACAATATTAGCTCCAGCAAACCTAGCGATTAAATTAAGAACAGTACAAAAAAGTATCAAAAAGCTCCATCCTCCTTCTGTATTCAGCGAAGCCATCTCCAATTCAACAAACAAGACGGACAATTCCCAATCAAAAGCAGTAAACAGAGAATCCGCAGACCTAAATCCACTTATAACCCTTCCCGTTCCTACAGAATACCAGGGAAATCAAATGGGAATCATAAAAGCAAAACGAACAAAGTTGAAACAAGCGAAATATAACGTTACCGTTGAAAAAGCAACTTCGCGACTAAATATCGAATTTTGAAGTAGAATCCAAGGCGAGGGAGGAGGGTTTTAATACCTGGCGACTCCGGATCGATTGAACTACAGAAACAACAGCAAAAAGGATGGAGACATCTGCTTCCATGAGATAGGGATTATAGAGGAGAAGGGGAAGGCCGGCGATGTTGAGATCCGGGATAGAGGTTTAAGGGCTGGATTTCTTAGCGGTTTGTTGTATTTCCACCTGGTGGGAACGACTAGAATGCCCTTTATTTAATACTCTGAACGGCCAAAAAATAAAAATAAATAATAATTGCATAAGAATTCATTTGGTTTTTTACGTGAGTACTTCAGATTTAATGATTTATTACAAATTTTAAAAATTCATGTGATTCGTATACATTTTTTTATTTTTTCTCTTAAAATATACTAAATAAAGTGTAGGATATTAGGATCTCAAATGTGTTGAGATTCGTTCACTATGAATTAGGTTGTTAAACCTAAGCTTATGTCCCAAGGCTATCCAAGAAGGGGGTGAATTGGTATTTTAAAAAATTATCCCTCTTGAGTATGTTGAACTGAAAATAAACTTTAATGGATTTTTGGAAATAGTTTTTCAATCACAATTTTTAGAACTAAACAAAATGCAGAAAATAAAAAGCAGTAAAAATAAAAGACACAAAATTTATAGTGGTTCGGTCTAAACCAGACTTACATCCACTCCCTGGAGGCACCCTCCGAGTATTGCACTAATACCAATAGTGTCTCTCCTTTTGCACCCACAGCAAGGCGGAGAAGCCTTTACAAACACTCTTTCCACCACTACCCGGTGCGGCAGAGAACCGTCATCCTTTTACACTATCCACAGTGTTGGCAGAGAACCGTCGTCCTTTTATACTATCCCCAGTGTTGGCATAGAACCGTCCGTCCTTTCACACTCTCCTACTGTGGGCAGAGAACCCTTCGACCTTTTACACTTTCCTAGTGTGGGCAGAGAACCCGCAGCTGTTCACACTCTCCAAATGTCGGCAGAGAATCGGATCTCCTTGACAGATCTTCTGACAAGAATTCTAGAAGAATGAAGAAAAGAGTGAAGTAATCCCAAATCACAAGTAGAGATTCTTACCTTTGAACACCAAACGAAGCCTTCACGCTCCAGTGGTAGGAATCCTCCTTTGAATGCTCTCTCGCACTCTCTTCTTGATTTTTCTTTCAATAGACACGAAGATAAAATGGCAAAAAGATTGGGTGGCTGTCTAATTTG